AGGGAGGAGAAAAGCTCTGCAATCTCCACTTTTGTGCATTTATCACTAAGATGAAGCCTATGTGTTATGCTAAATCATACATATTCTCTAGAAAGAAATACCTTCGATTTTGCAGGCATTTATAACCTGCAGATAATGTAGTATTTCTTCCTCACTTGCTTGAATGCATTCTAGAAAGTCTTCTGTTGTATACTGTAGTATGCAAGGGGGAAGAGAAAAAAGAAGAGTCAGCTCCAACTTCAATTTAGGTTTACCAAGTGAACATGAAATATTGTTTCTGCATGATCTACAACAACATTATATGAGTTATACATATCGCAAACATTATAGTAGTTAAGAATCCATGGAAGCAAAACTAACTAGAAATTTACAATAAGAATAAACTGCTTATGTTCCGAAGAGGAAAAACATGTTTATATTTCTTGTCATGGGCAAATAAGAGTAAAACAAGCAGCACTGTGAAAAAAAAAAATCTTCCTATTCACTTGTATCATGTTTAATAAGCTGAGACCAAATCAAAGCCTATAGTAGGTGCAAATTCTATCCACCCATAAAACTTACAGTCTAATTTTAAGTTTCATAGGGTCTTCCATGATACAGGCAAGAATCTTCCCATTAACTTCACAGAATTAGGCATACCTGACATCACAGGAATATTGTATTTTAAAATCTGGGAAGTCTGATGTTAATTCTGAGCACTACTGTTTGGAATAACATGTTTGCAAGAGTGAAACAGCTTTTCAGATATTCATTAAGTCATGTATAAATGTTTAACAAATTTATCTTATTTTCTAGATAAATTTTTATTTACTTTTTTGAAGCCTCCTGCCTTCAGGACATTACTTCTATTATTAACCACAGACTAGACAATTCATCCCTACTCAGCTTGGATCTGACCTTGAACAGGATTTTTTGGAAACATCATTTGCATGTTAATAGTAAAAGCAATAACTCTGGTAGAAGACATCTCAGTTTTCTCCCTCCATATTCACTGACTACATCCAAGCTATTTTCCTTTATTTTCTTATTATTCTATTTCCTTCCCTGAAAGGTGGGTGACTTGCAAAGACAAAAATCTGAAGTCACAAGAAGCAGAACTACAGGCACATACAAGTAAGGGAAAGAGACATTATGTTTTAGCAGTCAGAGGACTGTTGCAAGGAAAATCGAATCTAGTCATGTCAAGTTGACCAAACTCCCAGAAGTCTTTCTGAGATAACTCAAAATTGGCAGTGATTGTGACCTAAAGTTAACCCCAGTAAAATGCCAGGGAATTTGGAACATTTAAAACAATGGAACAATAGAACCATAAAATAAAACGATAACATGGTAATTTTTAGGAGTAATTAATTTGGGGATGGGAAAATAACAGGAAAATATTCTCAAGGTGCAAGGATATGCTATTGTATTTTTAGGATCTATGAGCCAAAATATTATATAACAAGCTTGGCTAGCATTGATAATAATGACGTCACTAAAGGGCTAAATAGCCTAAGCAAGTGAAGTTAGGGTTCTCCGTTTGCTGCATGCTATCTGAACCACTTGCATGAGTTTCTGAGGGAGACATCTGCATGGATCTCTAAAGGACGACCAAGCCTTCGGACTTGGAACAACAGCGCAACCCAGGAAGCTTTCCTAGAACGGCCGGCTAAGGGAAGGAACTCCTGCGTAACAGCTCTAGACAGACTGTGAAGTGGCGAAGAGTCACGTTAACACGCTCAGTCTTTGGTAACTGTCTCCTTACATTTTGGCAATCCCAGTAAAGTTGACTACTTGTATTCTGGCAACCCCAGTTAATGACTTGCTTTGTGCTTAGTAGATGCTTTGTAGTCAATAAAGCTTCTGACTGTTTGTCGGACGAATGCCAGTGGTTAATCACAGAGTTCTCTTCTCCCACAGAGAAGTAGGGCTTGGATGAGTTTCCACCCAACAAGGACTACTACGTTCTCAGAGACCAGTGAAGGCTGTCACTTGTTCACTTCTCCCAATTCTCCCAAAATGAAGCTAAAAATGTCTTCTCCCATAGAATAATGCTGAATCTGTTCACTTCTTACACAAAAAGAAGTCTTTTTCTTCTCTTTGCCACCAGGCCAACATCTTCCTGGCTGCTGTCAAGTAACTAACCGTTCTCAGCTAATCTGCCAGGCTCTCTCAAGGAATGGGGGAAAAATAAACAAAAAATAAACACAGACAAACAAAGAAGACACACGGGTGAGAGCAGGGCACAACTCTGCACTCAGGCAAAACTTATAAACAGAGCAAGTGGTGTGGGGAGTTGTTTTCAATTTATTAGCAATTTTAAGGGGTTCTAAATCATTGCCTGCTGCAAATTAAAATAAAACTCAAAAGTGTTTTATTTCACAGACTTACCTTTGAATCAGCTGAGCTTTGATCTTTTTCAATGTCTGGCCCTTCATAAGGATTTTCTGATAAAAGTTTCTTCAGTTTCTTCAGCTTTGGTCGACATCGCCTTAATTCCCAATAGTTATTGGCAAAACCAGCAACCTACAATAAGAAAATAAAATGATTTTGAGTCATTTTAGTTTAACACTTGTAGTCAAAGAATAGAACAATAGAAAAGTAGGATTAGAAGGGACCTCAGGAGTTCATCTAGTCTAGGGGTGCTCAACACTTGGCCCACGAACCAGATCTCGGTGCACAGGCCCAGGATAGGACAGTGCCAAGCCCCAGGGCCCAATCTCAGCATGCGGGGCTCAATCTGGCCTGCAGACTGGCCCCATGCTACTCATCCGAAAGCTTGAGCACCACTGCTCTAGTCTAACCCCCAGCTCAAGGCAAGATCCTCCCTACCCAAAAGCCAAGTGCTTGTCTAAACCATATTAATGTACAAACAAACGTCTGGTACAATTACTAGGCACCATGCAAAACAGGAAAAAGTAAATAATAATAAAAATAATACATAATAATAATAATAATAAAATCTTAGCTTATTACAGGTAAAGCAGGAGGATAAGGACACTATTGGCATCTTAAGAGTCCTAGAACACCTTGCTACTGCAAGGACAGGAAGCAGTTTGTTAAAATGCACTCAAGAGATCAAAGGAAGAGATCATGAAACTACAGTTAATGATGGACTTTGTAAGATTTTTATTAACATAAACAAGAAGAACATACCTGCGTATGAAAAATATTACATAAGGTTTGATCTGTAAGCAACTGCTCTGGAGTTTTGCAGCCAGGAATAAACAGCAACATATTCGAGGTATCTGCTATTTTCATGTCATAAGTTTTATCTTTACTGCACAGCACAGCTTGTTCATCCCTTTCACCACGAATAACCAAGCTGCAAAAGAATTTTCATTTATAATGGGAGCATAACTATGTTCAATACTTAGTCATCCCTAAGGAACAGATCTAAGAATAAAACATACATTTTAAATAAATTAAGCATTGCTAACCTTGACAAGTGACAGGTACTGTGACTGTTATTACTGACTGCACGTAAAATCTGTAGATGTAATATGCCAATTAGTTTAAGCTACAATATCCTACTAATGTGAAAGTAGTTGGGGATTTAACAGTTTGTTTTACAAACATCCTCACTGAAAAGTTAACCCAAGCTATAATTTAAACCAGACATGTCAAAACTATAGTCTGCTGGGTGGACCTGGCTCACAGTGCCCAACCCCCTGACCATGGTGATGCCCGTGGGTCTCAGGCCTATGTGCCACATGCGCATGTACCAGCCCCAGCCCTGGTGCATGAGACTGGACCCAGTGTTTGCGAGGCAGGCAGGCCTGGTTCATAGACTCATAGATTGTAAGGCTGGAAGGGACCTTAGAAGATCGTGGGGTCCAGCCCCCTGCACCAAGCAGGAAAGACAACTTGGGGTCAGGTGACCCCAGCAACACAACTCTCTAGTCTCCTCTTGAAGGTTTCCAGGGTAGGTGACTTCATCACCTCTAGAGGGATCTTATTCCACAGTCTGGACACCCTGACTGTGAAGAATTTTTTCCTAACGTTGAGCCTGCATCTGTCTTCCAGGAGTTTGTGGCCATTACTCCTGGTTTTCCCCTTGGGTGCCCTGGTGAACAGTTGCTCACCGAGCCCTTGATGTACTCCCCTAGTGTAGCAGTAAGCTGCTACAGGTCCCCTCTCATCCTTCTTTTCCTCAGGCTGAAGTCCCAGATCCCTCAGCCTCTCCTCGTATGGCTTGCCGTGTAAGACTGTGATCATACACGTGGCTCTTCTTTGGACTCTCTCAAGCTTGCCCACATCCTTGTTGAAGTGCGGTGCCCAGGACTGGATGCAGTCCTCCAGCTGCGGTCTCACCACTGCCGGGCAGAGCGGAAGAATCACCTCCTGGGTTCTGCTGGAGATGCACCAATTGATGCGTGACAGTGTATTGTTAGCCCGGCTGGCGTACAGGGGACGCACCGCATGCAGCGCTCGCACTGGACCAGCCTTACGAGCCAGATCTGGGGCTGGTCTAGTCTGGCTCTGGAGCACGGGGCAAGCCTGTTGGTCCAATCCATCCTGTGGGCCAACCCCATGCCCCTCATCTAGCCCCATGAGCCGATAACCCTCATCTAAAGCCCTCAAAAAAGCTCATTCCAAAGCCTCCGACGTGAATTTGGAGATGACATCAGCTTGTTTCAATGCGCTCCCTGAACCAAATAAACTAAAGATCTTCTTTAAGCGGGGCTGGGACACGCAGGGTAAATCGGGGCCCGCCGCACAGAGCCAGGGACAGGAGTGGGGCCTCCTCCCGTGCCCGGGGAGCCCGGCCCGGCCCGGCACGCCCACCTGTGGCCCGCCTCCAGCTCGGCGCACAGCCCGGCCTCCAGCTGCAGCAGACAGCAGTCGCCGGCGCTAGCGCGGGGCCCGAAGCGGAGGCACTGCGCGGCGGGCAGCAGCTCGGCCGGGTTGAGCTTGGCGATGTGCAGCGTGGCGTCCACCTCCGCGCGGCTCCGCATGGCTCGGCCGGCCCCGGTGGCAGAAGCGCGCCAAAACTGCCGCTCGCGCCCGGACAATCTGCGGGCGGGGCCGAGAAGCAAACGCGACCGCTCAGCGGAGGGGGAGGAGCTTGAAGGGCGGGCCCATTCAGGGGAGGGGGAGGAGCTAGCTTGGAGGGCGGGGTTAGCGCTCGCCCGATTGATCCCGTGGTTCACACTAAGATGCGGCTTCAGAGGAGGCGGGGGCGGGCTTTGTCTTTTTTCCCCCCATCTCGCACACATGAGTGGTGCCTATAACGTCAGGGTACCTGAGGAGACTGGTTTGCAAGCGTTGAAGGGGAGGGGTGGGTGGGTTGTTTTTTTTTAAAACCCTGCCCTCCAAGTTCCTCCCTCTCCTTTTTTTGTGTGTTTTTTAATTATTACTACCCAGAATTGACATCCTGACAAAGAAATGTCACCAATTTCACATCTAAAACATCAGTATGGGCAATTGGTGCCACCTTAGTCCTGGGGGGCACATACCACCCCCCAGCAACCAGCCAGTGACTGGGGGGGTCCCTGCAGCCAATCTCACTGACCGGGGGTGGGGATCCACCTGTGGCAAAACTCACCAACTGGAAAGAGGCTGTGGCACTACATCCTGCACTCCCACCCCCTGGCCAGTGCCCGAGGGAGGGCACTGGCGCTCCCACCTGCCCATAACCTAACCGGGAATCACGGTTGGTCAGGGCGTGCATATGCACCCCGTGCACCCCCTACACGTTGCTACTGAACATCAGCCTGAGGAAAAGAAGGCTGAGGGGTTCCCGGGGGCCTGGATTGACCCTGCATGTCCCAGCCCCACTTAAAGAAGGCCGGTAGCAGGTTACCACTACACCAGGGGAGTACATCAAGGGCTCAGTGAGCAACTGTTCACCAGGGCACCCAAGGGGAAAACCAGGAGTAACGCCACAAACTCCTGGAAGACCGATGCTGGCTCAACATTAGGAAAATCTTCTTTGCAGTCAGGGTGTCCAGACTGTGGAATAAGCTCTTGTGAGGCCTCTCCAATAGAGTGGCTTTTGAGTTAACGCTCTGAGACAACATTTAGGTTCTCAGCATGCTCAGACAAATAATTGCATTGACTACAGTTGCTTCACACATTTGTTTTTCAACCACAAAGACAAAAATGGAAACGTCAATTTACAAAAATAGAAGCATTTAACTTCAATCACATTTTAAACTTCTGCAAAACTCTGTGCGGACATTCCGACTTCAGTTTAAGATTGGTATATTTCGTTTTAAATTAAATCTGTTTCCAAGCTACTTTTTGCTGAACTGAAAAGGCCACTTTTGTACCAAAATAAATGTTGATACAGGGGTTTGCATAATCTAACTATACTGGTTTAAATTCATAATAGAGATTACACTAATGTAACTTGTAAATGAAGCCATTCTATTCAGCCCCAATCTCCCAGAAATGTGAGATTCTGATGTAACCAGGTGACTCCAGGAACTGGAGCCCTGGGAATAGACTTGTAGTGCCTACATCTTAACTACTTTTCTATTGAATAGAAAATTAACAAGAAGAAATTCACTAAGGGCTAGTACACACTGTTCAAAGAGTTGGCACTGATCTTAATGTGGAACGTCTAAGACTGCACACAAAGTTAGCACTGGTTATTAATCCTTTCAAACTGGTAATGTTTAAGTAGTAATTATATATTTTAGTTATTTTTTTTAATGAGACCATTGTGGAGTAGTGTTCTTTAGCAAACTGACCTGGTTAAGATTAGCAAAATTCTGATTACTTAGCTGTCAATGAATAAAATTGGCCTACTGAAACAGTGCCATGCACAAGTACATGTTTCATTTAGCAACTCTCAGAGAACTGTAATCACCACTCTCTTTATACTGCTGTTTGTTAAGGTCTTCAAATCATTGAGAATCTGGTGGTTCACAGTAATTTTAGCTGTTTGTTGTTATACTGTGGCTGTACCACAAAGACGATGTAGGAGGTTCCATGCTTTTTCACTTGCACAATGAAACCCATACGTTCCATGGCCTCAGTCCAGAGCAACCATCTAGCAGCATCCAATGACTATAAGAGAACAGATCCTTCATCTGGAGCACTTGAAGCTTCATACTATCTTAAATACGTCTCACTGGACTCCAGTAGAGAGCAAAAGATCTACTGAAGGCACAAGGAATATTTTCCCATGCATTTTTTTTTCATGAGCTTAGTAAAATGTTCAGAAAGATCACATGTAGCTGATTAACAACCTAATGTTTTCCTCAACAGCTGTTGTAAATGCAGGACAATCAGCTTGCCAAAGACTTGTCAAGCGGCAGTGGGGCAGGCCCTACAAAGAGAGGGTAAAGGGCCTGAACCTCTTCAGCCTCAACAAGAGAAGGCTGAGAGGGGATCTGGTGGAGGTTTACAAACTCACCAGGCAGGACCAGCGGGAATTGGAGGAGGCTCTGTTACCCCAGGCACCACCCAGGGTTACTAGGAATAATGGCCACAAATTGTTAGAGAGAAGGTTCAGGCTGGACATCAGGAGATATTACTTTACGGTTAGGGCTGCCAGGCTCTGGAATGGGCTCCCAAGGAAATACTCTCCTACCTTGGGGGTCTTCAAGAGGAGGCTGGACAGATATTTGGCTGGGGTGATATGACCCCAGCACCTGTTCCTGCCCAGTGCAGGGGGTCGGACCTCATGATCTGTTTAGGTCCCTTCCGACCCTAAGTCCTATGATACTATGATTTCAGGATATTTGTGCGCTATGTGTAACAAGCAGTTCCTGAGCAATATGTCCATGTTGGGTACATGTGATGGAGGCAGTAGATGTATGCTTGCATTTATAGACACAAAACATGAGTCCAGCATATAATCTTTTCTCCACCAGGCAGAATTAAATGTCCCATTTCATTCTGAATCAAATATTAAATGCCAAATAAAAAATAATGTTCACACCCAGGTTGACTGCCCCTTGGTTATTAAAGAATAGCCTTACTATCTACCACAATTTCTAATATGGTTCATTAGAATATTAGATGATGGTAAAACTGGAGAAGGCTGTAGCTGATTTATTGTCTTATCGAAATATATTCCCAAATCCCCAACTTGGATGCCATCAAGTATTTGGGAAATCATCAATCACTGGTGATACGGATTTAGTAATATTATTGTGGCAATGCCATATTTTGAATAGCTTTGGTTTATTATAAGAATATATTCAGATATGTTAAAGCAGGATGAATCTGCTCCAGCAACATGCATTTCTTGGAGCATCAGAACATTTATGTGAACATTCCACTCTACAATTA